GTGAGTTAACATAAAAAAGTGTTCTACAGAATACCGTAGAACCACGTTAGTGTGTATAGTTAAAATAGTAATTAAATGGCGCAGATAGTGTCAAAATAAATTAATTATCCCACTTAGCATCAAGCATGTTATGTAATTTGATAAATTTTGTTCAACGGTACCGGTGGTGTAGTGGTAAGAGTGATTGCCTCTCACCTCAAAATACCTGGGTTCAATCCCAGTGGGTGCCGCCGGGATTTTCTGAGGCATAAAATCTGTGATCACGCCTTCCTTCGGAACGGAAGTAAAGCCGTTGGTGCCCGGTCCATGAGTCGATGGATCGATAGATAGGGTCCAGGAGTGGGAGCTGCCTTCTTGGCGTCGGTAGCATTAGTACTCAGTACGGAAAATAAGATCGACGTAAAGCAAATCAATTTTTAATTTAAACATTCACTCTTTTGGTCATGTTAAAATACCAATAAATAGGGGAATATAAGTATTCTCATCAGTCTAAGCAGCGTCCGTGCTTATTTGTTGCTTGTTGCTCAATCTACTTCAAACTTCGCAGGTGAGTGTTACTATTGTCCGCAACTCTTTTTTTTCCATTGGTAATCTTTCTATTTGAACTGCTTGTTAACCTGCTATTATGTTATCAACTTGAAATCAACCATATGCTTCATTTCAAGAAAAAAACGTGGCAAAATGCGTTTGTTAAGTCGTAAAAATCTAATCAGATTGAAGCTGAAAGACTAAAGAATCGTTTGAATACATGATACGAAGTGTTTTGGTGAGAAAATGCAGTGAATTTACCGCTGCGTACTGAAAACATTCAATGGGTGCCGAAGCCACCATTTACCGTTATTAATTATGAACGTGTTTAGATGGGGTTGATACTTCAAGATCAACTAGTTAAGATGTCTAAACATCACAAAACAGTTCCGCACATTAATTGAAATAACCAAAGACAGGGATGTTTTCTAGATTACGAAAAAAAATACAATTCCCGTAGAGCCTCGTTGTACAAACATACAAAGTTCACTGTTGTACTACCGTTGTACTGCTAGTACCACAAATTGTACTTTTTGAGGTACTAGATTAAAGGAAAGCAACGGTACTACTTTGTATGTCTGTCTGTGGTATTGTATTAGTGTGAATAGCTATGATAGCAATTAAACGGCTTTCATTGAAAATATATTTGATTGGTACCCCTACCAGATGAACAATTTCGAAGTGAGCGCCGTTAAAATGCAATTTTAGCTATTCAATTTAACGGGGCTCTACGCTATCAGATAGTGTCAAAATATATGAATTATCCCACTTAGCACCAAACAATTTAAACATGCATGTAATTCAATTTGATTAATTTTGTTTAAATGTTCACTATTACGGTCTTGTTAAAATTCCAATACTTAGGGGAATATAAGTATTCTCGTCAGTCTAAGCAGCGTCCGTGCTTTTATTGTCATTGTATCAGCAACAAGCACGCATTTGACGTGTTTGTTAAATCCTTTAAATTTGTCGCAACAGCAACACGCACGCATTTGACGTGTTTGTTAGTTTAAATTTATTTGCTGCCTTTTGCTCTATCTCTTCCAATCGACAACATTGTCCAAACTGTTTGAACAAGTTTTTACAATACTCCGAATTTCTCTGATGAGTGAAACTGTTGTCCGCAACTCTTTTTTTCGTCGCCAGCCTTTCTATTTGAACTGCTTGTTCCTGCTGTTCTATTAACGGCAGAGGCGCGATGAGTTGGTGGAACGCACAAAAAATGCCTGGATAGGAAGTCAAAGCTTTGTCCCACCAACGATTATATAGAAAACCTGAATTAGTCTAAATTGATTGATGAGCGTTTTAGTCCAGGGGGCTGACTCTATCTAATATGCAGGAAAACTTTTGCTTTGCTGTTGTAAGATGTACACACGCTTAATAGATAGAAAGATGATTGATCACGATTTTGAAGATTTTCTACAGAGCGACGTGAGTAAATGGATTTAGATTTTTTTTAAACTTTATTATAGAGATTTTTACGATTGATTTAGATGCAAGAGATGAAAAAAACTTTTCGTAGAAAAATTAGCTAACGTGAAATGGTTTCACTATCTAAAATTGAGATTTGGATATGTCGCACCCCTCGGTATTAATAGAATAAATGAATACTTTATTACTTTGTTTTTCTTTTTAATTCTATTTTTATAATATAATTTTCGCTTTCACTAATTAATTATTATATTCACTTTCACTATCACTTTAAAAAAACTAGATACTGAAGAATTATGAAGCAGTAAATAAAATACGTATCTGCTATGGTTTTTTTTTTAAGAAAGTGAAAGTAAATTGTACATTAGTTAAAAAGAATAGTAGATTGTGATACAATAAAAGCTTAGTAAAAATGAAAAACAACGTAATAAAGTATACTGCATTAATCCTTCCATGATTAAACCTGATCCTTCTTACTAATTGAAATTCCGACTAAAGTGCTCGTACGATGAGAAAAGGTAGATTAATTCTAATGTAATATAAGGTAACGTATGATGGATTTTGACCCTAAGTAGTTAGAAACTGAAGCCGAGGTTCCCAAAACATGGCCGGATGTGGCCAGTATAGTCCTGAACTGTTTTTTTTTTTTAATTCTCATCTCACATTACATGTGACACATCAACATAATAGGTTTTAATCATTTCAGGCCGCATTTAGTTTCATGGCATTAACAAACCAGAACATGTTCTGGTCATACATTTCCGGAACCAGTTTAAGATTCCAAAAATATTCCAAAATTTCTATGAGACCAAAGTACCTTGTCCCACCCACATCTATGAAGGTGGACGCGCCTCTGATTATCGGTAACTTGAAATCAGCCATATGCTTCATTTCAAGAAAAAAAAAAAGTAGTCTATGCCTAGGGGCACGAACAGAAACTTGACGTAGGACCACCGACGAACCGACGTGTGACAGCTCATACAGCTATTGGATACTGTGCGAACCGATCTGTCTTTCCTGCATAACCAACCGCCTTTAGTACACACTTAGAAAAATCATGTAAATTTAGGTGCTCTGAGAGTGACATATACGAGTGTCAATTTTGACATAAATTTGAGCCATAACAGACGCAAAATATAGCTCAACCAAACATACTTTTCGTCGAGGAACGAACTTTTCAGTCTCGGAGCACTTAACATTACATGACATGTTTGTTTACGTCTCATCTTTTATGTCAAAGACGGAATCCATCACATGTAAAATTACTTATTTCTATGTGTGTATGTGTTCACGGAATAACGAAAATAACGTCAACTTAATGCTAGCAGCCGAAGGACTACCAACGGATACACAACTCGTAGTCCTCCGCCAAGGTGATGCCGATTGGGATCATACCGTCGATAACGCATACTGCCTCCATCGAAATGGTTCTGTACGCACTCACGACTCGCATGGCCATGAGCCGGAACGTACTGCTCAATTTCCTTTGGTTCTGCTTCGTTTTCAGCGCTTCAATCCAGGCTGGACCTCCGTACCTTAGTATTGATGAGGACACACTAGCCAGAAGACGTCTCTTGCTGCTGCTTGGACCAGAATTGTTCGGCATGATTCTGGCTATTGCGTTGATGACCTTCGTCGCCTTCTCGCAAGCATATGCGATGTGGCTGTTAAAGTTTAGCCGGTCGTCGATCATCACTCCCAGATACTTTAGCATGCGCTTCGAAGCAATGGTGTGCTCTCCAACGGTAATTTCTGCCCGCTGCATTGCTTTGCAGTTACTGACCAACATCACTTCTGTTTTGTGGTGGGCTATCTGCAGCTTCGCTCCTTGCATAGTGTGTGTGTGTGTGTGTGTGTGTGTGTGTGTGTGTGTGTGTGTGTGTGTGTGTGTGTGTGTGTGTGTGTGCGTGTATGTATGTATGTGTGTGTGTGTGTGTGTGTGTGTGTGTGTGTATGTGTGTGTGGGTGTGTGGGTGTGTGTGTGTGTGTGTCTGTGTGTGTGTGTTTTTTTTTTTTTTTTTTTTTTTTTTTTTTTTTTTTTTTTTTATAGTAAGGTTTAGGAAAGCTTCAAGAAGCCTGGCCTGTAGTGAAGGTGGCACGGTGTGGTATCCACTAGTTGCCTAGTGCAGCTCCACTAAAACCCATTCCTTACTCTCTCCTCTGCCTGGATCCCCCCGGGACCACTGTGAAGCGACTACTTCGGGGGGTGGCTGTGCTCATGCACTTGTCGTACTCTCAGCGCTAGCTGGCGTTGCTAGATCGCTGCTCTTCTCTCCATTTACGCTGCAGCTCTGACATAATCTGTGTGACTGCCCTGCTGACGGCATTCCAAGAGTCCTCCTCTCGACACATTTCATCAACGACATTCTCCACGTTAAGGACGGGCATCTCCGTTCGCACTGCCTCGAACCTTGGACAGTCAAAGACCACATGCTCCGGCGTTTCATCGACGTTGCCACACTCCGGACAGAGGGGTGACGCTGCGTGTCCGAACCGATGCAGGTATTTCCTGAAGCAGCCGTGGCCAGACAGGAACTGCGTTAGGTGGAAATTGACTTCTCCGTGTTTTCTGTTCACCCAGGTCGAAAGAATCGGTATTAGTCTATGTGTCCATCTACCGTTCTCCGTCGTGTTCCACTCCTGTTGCCACTTAGCCAATGACTCCACTCTCACAACTTTCCGTACTCTTCCGGCTTCTCTCTGCCTGTAGCACTCACTGTCCTCCGCCAGGGTGATGCCGATAGGGATCATACCGGCGATAACGCATACTGCTTCCGACGAGATGGTTCTGTACGCACTCACGACTCGCATGGCCATGAGCCGGAACGTACTGCTCAGTTACCTTTGGTTCTGCTTCGTTTCCAGCGCTGGAACCCAGACTGGACCTCCATATCTCAGTATCGATGATGACACGCTGGCCAGAAGACGCCTCTTGCTACTGCTGGGACCAGCGTTGTTCGGCATGATTCTAGCTATCGCGTTGATGGCCTTCGAAGCCTTCTCACAGGCATATTCGACGTGGCTGTTGAAGTTTAGCCGGT